GGCGCATAAGCTCTCTGTACACCGCAACAGAATTCATTTAGGTTTATTTTATTATCTTTATTTAAATCAAATAAATTAAATATTTTATAATTTAATAAACCTAAAAAAGAAGAAGAAATAAAACAAAGAAATTCTACTCTATCTATGCATGCAACATAACGTAAACGAGATAAACCTAGAGGAGGAGGAGAACCAGCTAGCTCCCTGCATCACACAAATAAATAAATAAATAAATAAATAAATAAATAAATAAATTAATTAATTAATTAATTAATTATTTTGTTTGTTTGTTTTAGGTTTTTATTTTGGGTTTTGGTTGGAAGGGTAGAGAGGAAGGGGGGGGAGAGAGAGATACAGCTTGTGAATATATATGCTGTTGCTGCTGCTGCTGCTGCTGCTGCTGCTGCTGCTGCTGCTGCTGCTGCTGCTGCTGCTGCTGCTGCAGTGTATAGAGCGTACTTGAAGAGAGCTTTGAGCTGAGCTCGCATTTCTTTTAGTTTTTTTTTCTCCATCGTGGAGTTTCTTCTTTGTGTCTGTCGCTGCCATCCTTGCTGCTGCAGCTGCTGCTGCTGCTGCTGCTGCTGCTGCTGCTGCTGCTGCAGCTGCTGCTGCAGCAGCAGGTATTGCAGCTGCTCTTGCTGCTGATCTGCTTGCTCCTGATCCTGGGCTCCTTCTTCATGTGCCTCTTCCTCTGGTTGCTGCTGCTGCTGTTGTTGCTGCTGCTGCTGCTGCTGTTGCTGCTGCTGTTGCTGCTGTTCGTGCTGCTGTTGTTGCTGCTGATTTATCCGTTGCTGCAGCAGCTCTTGTATCTGCTGCTGTTGATGTAGCTGTTGCTGGTGTTGTCGTTCTTGCTGCTGCTGCTGCTGCTGCTGCTGCTCTTCTGTTTCTTGATAGGTGGTGCGGCTTCGGTGCTGCTGCGAACTTGTTGCTTTTGGGGGGTGCAGCAGCACATTGCTGCTGCTGCTTCTGTTGCTGCTGCTGCTGCTGCTGCTGTTGTTGCTGCTGCTTCCGTATCTACTGTTCCCATCTCCGGTGCTTCTGCATCTGCTGCTGCTGCCTCTACAGCTGCTGCTGCTGCTGCTGCTGCTGCTGCTGTCTGCTTGCATCCCCTTGTTTCCTTTCTTCTCTGTTTGCTGCTGCTTCTCTGCTGCTGCATGCATACACCCCCCCCCATCCATACCCAAATAATTATCTAACAAAAACAAAAAGGGGCCCCCCCCCTCCTCTTCTCTTTCTCTCTTCAGTAGCCGTACAAAATTCACGCAGCTCTTCTCAGCCCGGGGGCCCCTGGGGGCCCCCCCACCCCCTTCTAGACCACCAGGGGACTTGGGGGCCCCCCTGGGGGCCCCCCTGGGGGCCCCTATGGGGTCACCCACGGGGGCCCCCAGGGGGAGTTTCTTGGTAACAGGAGTCTCGAGGGGGGCCCCCTTGGGGGGCCCCTGAAGGCCGTGGGTAACTTGGGGGGCCCCTTTGGGGGGCCCCTGCGTTGTTGTTGCGGTCGGCGCGGGGGAGGAGGGAAGGTCCATTCTATTTGTTTATATGGGGGCCCCTGAGGCCCCTGTTAGCAGCAGCAGCAGCAAAAGAAACACCTGTGCTGCGGCGAGCTGCTGCAGCTGTGCGGCGGCTGCAGCAGAGCTGTAGCGACCGCGTGGGTGGTTTGGGGGTTTGTGTTGTTCTTCAGAAACAAATAAACAAACCCTAAACCCTAAACCCTAAACCCTAAACCCTAAACAGAGAGAAACGCTTGGGGGGGGGGGGGGGNGGCCTCAACACTCTAACATAGCTGGGGGTCCCGGGGCCCCCGCCTGCGGCTGCAGGCGTTGAGTGTTGCAGCAGCAGAGAAAGAATTGAAGAAAGAAAGAGTTTAAATGAAAGAAATGAAGTGAAAAGGAGTTAAAGAAAAGAAAAACAAAAAAATAAAGACGCAAGCAAACATACAGCAGAAAGGCAGCAGCTGGGTGAGCGGTGCGGTCGCAGAGAAAGCGGAGAGAGGGAAACCTGTATTTTTTTACAAAAAAAAACAAAACCAGAAGAACAAAAGTATTTAAAATTTAAATTTAATTTATAATTTAATTTATTTTTTATTTTTTTTCTTTTATTTCGCACAAATTCCTCGATATACAAATTCCTTAGCTGCACCTGGTCACCGCCGTGGGGCCCCCCTTTGCTCGGCGAGGATGAAGCGGTAAGCTGCCTCTTTTTTTGTCTTTTTTTTTGTTTTTTGTTCTTAATAAAATATAAAATTAAAATTATAAACAAATTCAAAGAAATTCAAGTTTTTTACGCAAAAAAAACACACAAAAATAACCCAAGCGTGCAGCAGAATATCACCGCGGTGCAGCAGCACCAATGGACCTGTACTGAAACGCCCATTCAGGTTTATACTTTTTATTTATTTTTTTTTTATATTTTTGTTTTTTTTAAAGAGAAATGTTTTTATTTATGTATTTAATTCATTAAATTATAAAAATAATTTATTTTGGGTTTATACACCGCGAGAGCGACGCAGCTTTCTATAACTAACGCGAAGAGATGCATGCGTATAAAAAGAAGAAAAACAATTAAATTAAATATTTAAATAAATATATTTATAAAAATTTAATGTTTAATTTCGTTTTTATTTATTTATATTCAGCTGCTAATAGAAATATATATACAGGTTTCTCCTCCTCCTCGCCGCTGCATCTACCCAGGCACTACACACGAGATGAGCTCAAGGAGTTTATTAATTATAATAATGTATTTTTCTTTCATATGTCTGCTGCTTCTTGGTTCGTTGTTGCTGTTGCTGCTGCTTCCTCTGCAGCAGCAGCAGCAGTAGCAGTAGCTGCTGCTGCTGCTGCAGCAGCAGCAGAAGAAGCAGCACAATCCACGGTGTTTCACCATTTACCCCGTACATATAACCTCCTCCTCTTCCTTCGTTTCTTTTTGTTGTTTTTTGTTTTTCTTCTGTTGCATGCATTTCTCTTCATCTTTCTTTTTTAATGGGCCCTTTGCTTCTCGTCTTATACCCCTTCTTATCTTCCATTCCTCCTGTATGGTTTGGGGGCCTCCCAGGCTTTCTGTTGATACGAACGGGGGCCCCCTGGGGGCCCCCCAGGGGCCCCCCGTGGGTGCCCCCGTGAGGGCCCCCCTGGGGGCGCTGCTGGGGGCCCCCCTGGGGGCAGTGCGGGGGGGCCCCCTGGGGGCCCCCTGTAGTTGAGGGTTTTGAAGAAGTTGAGTATGAGGGTATTTTTGTTTGGGGGCTTTGCATGCAGTTTGTGTTTTTGTTTAGGTTAAAGAGAAGTTCAGGGGTGCCTGGGAAGGAGTGGGTTGCTGCTGTCTCTGATATGAAGGGTTTCGTCTTTACTCGTTGCTGCTGCAGCTGGTTATAGTGGTGGTGGTGCTGCTGCTGCTGCTGCTGTTGCTGCGGAGACAGCTGCAGCGAGTTTTGTGGGAGGGGTATATGCTGTTGGTTTTGCTGCTGCTGCTGCTGTTGCTGGTGCTGGGTTTCATGTGCTGCAGCCTCAGGTTTAACAACAGCAGCAG